AAAATTATTCATATAATTCACTTGTTCTTGTGGTTCACTTGTAGATGCCTCACATGCGCCATTTACATGGTTTCCTCCACAAAAATCACAACTTAGTTGACTGGTAGGTATACTTCCTATTTGCATATTGCTAATTTGTTGAGTTAAGGCAGCTAATTGTTCTGAAAACATTTGATTTTGTAGCTGATTCTGTGCAAGAAAAGTTTCCAGAACCTTAGCTTCATGACCTGAGTTTCTTCCTTGATTTCTTGAGTTTGAATTCTGATACATTGAAGATGCCATCATCTCAATAATTCTCTGAGCTTCTTCCAAGGACTTTGTATTTAATGAACCTCCAACAGCAGCATCATCCATTGTTCTTGTTGCTGCATTCATCCCATTATAAAAAGTTTCTAATTGCATCCAATCTGGGATACAATGATGTGGACACCTTCTAAGCAATTCTTTGTATCTTTCCCAAGCTTCATACAATGATTCTCCTTCTTGCTGCACAAAGGATGTAATTTCTCCTCTCAGCTTAGCAGCTTTGGATGGAGGGAAGTACTTAGTTAGAAACTTATTCACAAGTTCTGTCCAGGTTGTGATGCTTCCTTATGGTTGAGCTTGTAACCAGCATTTTGCTATATCTCTCAAGGAAAAAGGAAGTAATCTCAATCTGATAGCTTCTTCACTAACTCCATTCATTCTTATGGTGTCACATAGCTGCAGAAAATTTGAAATATGTAGGTTAGGATCATCAGAATTTCCACCAGAAAACTGATCCTGTTGGACTAAGTGTAATAAGGTAGGTTTAATCTCAAAATGGTTGTCTTGAATAGTTGGCCTAATTATAGAAGAGTTAAAACCTTGCATGTTAGGAATAGCATAGTCCCCTAATGTTCTAATTCTATTTTGTTCAGCCATCTCTCTTGCTGGATTTGGTTGTCTCAAAGGTGTAGGTGTTCTTTTCACTCTAGGATTACTCTGAAATTCTGGAGAATGGACAGCTTCTAATTCACTATCACTTCCTATGACTTTTTCTGCTCTAGACACTTTTCTCAATCTTCTCAAAGTTATGTCTATGTCAGGATCAAAGACTAGAATTGATTTATTCTTGTTTTTACCACGCATATACAAATTACAATGAAACAAAAATAGACTACAACCAGTATTCAGAAATAGACAACAGAAATCATGCAAAATCTATCAGTAAAAGCATATAGAAACTTAAATCTAGCAGTTGCAGAATTGTAAAATCATGTAAAAATATGCAGAATGGAAATTACAAATATGAAGACAATGAAAATCGAAATTATGCAGATAAAAAGGATGTAAAAACTCTGAAGCAAACAGTAATATTATGCAGAATGCTACACAAGGTGCAGAAAAATTATGCAGAAAGAAATTTGAAAGTAAAACAACAAAATAAATGCTCAATCTAGCTACTTTTCTACTACTAATGATATTGAAATGCAAATTCCCCAGCAACGGTTGTCACGACCCCTTTTATAAGGAACCGAGAACATTGTTTCTACATCACAAACTTATTTAAAATAAATAAAGTATAGAGAATATAAATATGAAATTCTCTTCTCATTCAAAATAAAACAGAGTTTCTTACAACGAATATCTAATAAAACAACACAATATTACATTAGTTCATAATATTCAAAATACCCAAAATTATACTACGTAGCTCCCTCTACATGAGGTCTCAAAATATAAGGGAAAAAGAACTTTGATGCAGTATTACTTGACCCCAGCTTCTAACACTTCTTCACTAGCCCCTCAGCCTGTGAAGTAGATGCAACACCTGCTACATCTGCTCACGTACCACCGTACGATCATCGCAGTACACACGCACACAACGACATAGAAAGAAATGCAAGGGTGAGCTTACCAAACTTAAAATAAAATCATATATATAGAGCAAAATATTTCTCACAGCAATAATCCCATGCATTTCCAGCCCATCTAATGCACAGCATGAAAACGGTTTCCAACTGGTTTCACAGCCTAAGTAATCCAGAAGGAACCGAGCCGGTCCGGGAGCGACCCATTCCGGTATCTGGATCCAGACAGCACATCACAGCAGCTCAGCATGAACTTACCGTTACACGTCTACCCACCTAAACATGTAACTTGTCTCTATAATGATGCAAAACATATATCTCAACATGATGCACACCGCCAAAATTATTTTAACAGCTCAGCTAAGGCAAGTTTAAGATAGATCAGCCAAAATCTCAGCATTTTAAATCAATTAACAGCAGTTACAGCTTAGAAAATAGCTTTTATTCAATAGATCTAACAAAATCATATCAAAACATCTTAAAATAGCATATTAAACCGTTCAAAACGTAGTTCATAGGTTAAAGTAAACTCCCCTTACCTCAGAAAGATGATTCACACTAGATCTACCGAATATTACTTGTTTTAATGCAAGATTCACCGAAGATTCGACTTTAAAACGAAGTTTCTCCTAAGAACACTATGAACTTCTATGAGAAAGAGAAGGAGAAGAGAAACGAACGATAAATCTAACTTCAAACTTAAAGAAACTTACTTCAAATCCTTCAGAATAAACGTAGGATCTTAGATCTGGCGAGAAATCTAAGTTTAGGAAGGTTTAGTATGAGAGAAATGGTAGTTTTTGGCCTTAGAACCTTTGAGAACCTTGGATAGGGGTGAAGAAATGAAAATTTCGTGTGAAGCCCCCTTTTTATAGAAAATTTTTGAAATTTACTGTTCACCGCCGAATTTACTGTTCATTGCCGGAAACACTGTTCACCGACTTACTGTTCACGCCGAAAACACTGTTCAGGGCACTATTCACGCTGGAAAATATTGTGCACGCGTACTATACACGCACTGTACGCTTATGTGACGTCAGCAGTCACTGTACATACACGGTTTTCACTGTTCATACGCAGTTTGCACTGTTCATAGGCGGTTTTACTGTTCATTCGTCACTGTTCATACGGTACTGTTCACTTCTTTTTCTTTTTTTTTTTAAATAATTTCAAACTCCATCTAAATCTATTCCAATACCAAATAATCCTTCAATTAACATTGAACAAGTATAAAATATTATAGATTACTCAATAATAAATCTCTAGCCTGACAACGGTGCCAAAAACTTGTTGTTGGCAATCTACACTAGCAAGTGCACTAGGATTGCAGCAAGTAATGAGTAATTTTTAAGATCCAAGTATCGTCTCCACAGGGAATTTAGGTTTCAAGTGCCACTTCACAGAATTATAACCATTTGAGCCATACGAATTTTGGAATGAGATTTGTAACATATAACAGCACTAAACCAAAGCAATTAAAGGTAAAGAACTTGCAGAAAAATAGAGTATAAGATTTGTAATGAGATGAGATAGGAATGAAGAATAGTTAGGAATTTACTTTACAAGAATATCAATATTAATTCAATTATGCTTCTGAACATTCAAGAACTTGGTTAATTGACAATCAGTTTCGCATATCAATAGCCAAAGGGTAATTCCTTAACTCATTGACCCTAACAAGTAACTAAACCACCCTAATCCCTTAGGTGAAGTTCAATTTCAAGTTGCATTATGACTTAGAACCTTAAGATTGCAAAATTAGGTCTCCTTATCCCTAAGAAATCCCCAAATTCTGATTGCTAACTCAGATCAGATAAGCAAATCCAACTTCCATTGGTAATTGTTCCTCTAAGATGAATCAAATGAATTTCCATTCATAGATTGCAAGAAAAACAGAATTCACAATTCAATTAATCCAAGAACTCAAAATTCAGAAGCAAGAGTCAAATCAATACATCAATTTGAGTTCCATAAACTCCTAACTACAAAAAAAACTACTCAGACATGGGAGAAAAGAAAGAGAAAGAAGAAGAAGAAGAAGAAAAACTCCAAGAAGCCATGGCTAGAAGCTCCAATCCGATTCCTCTTTGTGGAAGCTTCAAGACTTGACCCCAATCTTCTCTCTCAAGCTCTCTCAACGAGATCTAATAGAAAAATGGAAAAATAAAACTGAATCGCAGAAAATCTGCACGTTTCTGTTATTTATAGAATTTTCTAGATTTGCGCATTATCACTTTTATGAGAAATAGTAGCCACGCAGAAGGTTTATTTATGGTTGCGCGTTAACACTTTTATGAGAAAAAGTGACCACGCGCAACTTTCCTGATATTGAAGGCTCTCTGGAACTATCACTCTTGCTGATAAAAGTGACTACGCAGAGCTCAAGTGGTTGCGCGTGATCACTCTTAAGAATAAAAGTGATTAAGCGCAACTCGCCAAGTTGAAGGCTCTCTGGAACGTTCACTTTCGCTGATAATAGTGGTTACGCAAAGCTTTTCCTGATATTTGCCTCTCTGGAACACTCACTTTTACTGATAAAAGTAATAACGCCCAGGCTTTCTTCTTTTTTGAACTCTACAGTGATCACTTTTACTGACAATAGTGATCACGTCCAGTTTGCACTTTCTTGGTCTTGTGTTTTTGGAGTCCAGACTTGCTTCTTTCTTCTTCCTTGTCATCAAGCCTCCATTTCCATGATCCTTGCTCAATTTATTCCTTCAAAAACAAGATTAAAAACTTAATTTCTAAGCAAAATTTCTACAATTGCTAAGATAACTACATATGTAAACAAACTTCAATTCCTTCTCTTTTTTCTAAGTTTTTCTGCTTTCTTCATATATTTTTTTTATTAATTATGTTGGAATTATGCTAAAATATCAGTAAAAATATGGATTCATCAATCAATATTCAGCTTGGTGGAGATTATCACTAGAAGTTTTTCATTTGCCTCTAGATAGGCATATTTCAGATGTTTTGGCAAAGGATTGAGCTCCAGTATGGGAGGTTGCTCCACAGAGGGAACTAATTTGACACTCTCATTAGAAGAAATCTCTGCAACATTCAAATCAAAGGAGTTAAATTCAATTGTTCTTGCTGAACTCAATAAATCACATTCTACCCTTACTAGTTTTTCAATCTCTCCAATATCATAAGTTACAGAATTCACATTCAAAAGTCAGAAATACAAGTGTCACACATAGAGGAATTATTACAATATTCACAAATGGAAGTGTCTATAAGTTTAGAAAAAGTAAGAGAAAAATCTTCTTCTAAAAGTTCAAAAAATTGTTCATCTATCAAATCATCAAACAAATCAATCTGGAAGACAGAATGTTCTTCAAATGGGTGTTTCATGGCGTCCAAAATGTTGAAGCTCACAATGCTATCTCCAAACTCCATAGTAAGTGTCCTGGCGTGCACATCAATTTTTGTTCTTGTGGTCTTCAAGAACTGTCTTCCTAGGATAATAGGTGCAGCACTCTTCATTGACTCTCCCTCTTGCATATCCAGGATGTAGAATTCAGCTAGGAAGATAAGATCATTTACTCTAACTAGCACATCTTCAACAACCCCAGCTGGATTTGTTATGCTCCTATTAGCTAAGTGGATAACCACACTTATAGGCTGCAGAGGGTCAAGAGATAGTACAGTAAAAATGGAAAATGGCATGACATTTATGGATGCTCTTAAATCTAACATGGCATTCTCAATCCTATTATTACCAATGATGCATGGGATGGTGAATGTTCCTGGGTCCTTACATTTTTCAGGCATTGTGGATCGTTGTTTCTCAAAAAGTGCAGAAACATTCCTACCCATGTTTACTTTTTCATTAACCTTAAGACGCCTCCTGTGAGTACATAAATCCTTCAAGAACTTGGCATACTTAGGTATTTGCTTGATTACATCTAGTAAAGGTATGTTCACCTCTACCTTCCTGAAGGTCTCTATAATCACTTTCTCAGCCTCTTCAATTTTCTTACTTGGCTGGATGACTATATGAGGAAATGGTAGAGGAATTGCTCTTTCAACATTTTCTACTCCCTTGGGTTGGGCAGGTATGGATTCTGGCTGTTCTTGAGTGTTTTCCTCTCTATTTTGACCAACTATAACTTGAGTGCAACTTGAGTCTTCTTTCTCCTTGAGCATTGTGGGCTCTTGCATCACTTTTCCAGATCTCAGGGTGATTGCACTTACATTTTTAGGATTTACCACAGTTTGTGCAGGGAGGTTCCCTGAGCCTTAAGATTACATTTGATTCAAAAAGGAGGCTAGTTGTCCCACTTGATTCTCCAAAGTTTTGATACTAACGTCAGTTCTCTACTAAAAAGTGATGTTGTTCATGGTCAATTGCTTCATGAGCTCTTCCAATGATGGCTCATTTTTCTGGGATGCACTTGGTTGTGAGGAAGATGGTTGGTTATGATGTTGGGCTTGTTGTGGTTGATGTTGGGATTGATGGAACCTATTTCATGAAGAAGATGAAGGTTCTTCAAAATGTTTAGAATTATGCTTATGTGTTCTAATGTTTCTATGAAATGTCCAGAGATTCCACAAGTCTCCAGGATTTGATCTTGTCATTCACTAGAAACTATGAGTAGTGAAAAGAAGTAAACTAAATGAAATAACAAAAAATGCATAAAAATGCAGATAACAATTATGCAGAAAACTAATATCTAGTTGCACTAAAATAAAGCAATAACACTGAGCAACAAAAAAAATAGAAAAAACTGCAAATTATTCCACAAACGTAGCACACAGTCACAAATTATGCAGTAGAAACGAAACAAATGTAACACCTTAATATATATATATATATATATATATATATATATATTCATTTTTTCCTCCTTCCTTATATATACATATACAAACGTGTTTTGATTTCAAAAATTGATTTGCCTTGATAGCTTCTTTTGTTACCTACTTATGTTTCAGTGTAATTATAAGCCAATTCGTGCAAAAAGTCTTACTAAATAACATTAAGTGAAAAACCTTCACAATAACTTCTCTTTCACAAAAAAAAAAAGAAGGAGAACCCCATATTTCTTCAGGACATCCACCACGTTAGAAGTTTTAGACTATTGTCGGAATAACCCCATTCATACATAAAATCCTCAAACATATAATAAAGGACATTCAGTCCCATCTTATTCATGCATGGCGTGATTAAGGTGTTCTTATTTTCAATCCACACGTGTATCCTACTCAACTATTTCCTCGATTTGGTAGATGTTACTCCAGCCATGATGTTCATACACATTAGGAAAGTGAGGCAGAATTTAAAAACCCAAAATCTTGACAACATTACATAGATCCTCCATTAAATTTAAACCTTCCCTGCATGTGAAACATGTCCTTCACTTGTTAAGCTAAGAGCCACCTAAACCCCTCAAATCCAGCTTGAAAAGACCATGGTTCTGCATTCTTCCTCCGAAATGAAGCCCATTAATGATTAAGTGAGTGGCATGGGGAGATCAAAACACAACCACTCGTAGTCTCATCAGATTGATGTTACTGCACTACACGCTTAGAGGATTTTGCCATTGAGAAGAAGGGACAAAAATAAAGAAGAAGAACCGAACTTAACAAATCTGTTGCATGCATTAGAAGACGAAGGGAGAATGTGTCAAGGGTATCCTTCTATTAATTAATTTAAAGACATTTGATTCTTGAGTGTTTTGATTTTTTCCTCTCCTCTCGCAATTCGTCATCTCTCTTTATTTCATTCTTTTGCCCTGCCTCTCCAAGAACTTTGATCAAGGTTTCCACCGAGCTGAACCAAGATCTTTCACATCCATTATCTCTTTACCTTGAGACCTTTGTTGACAAGTAAGGGGGAGTCCATAATGTGTGAAAATCTTGCTGCATGTATTACCAAATTTTTTTGCTGCATTTTAGTTAAACTTTATTGTTTATTTAGCTGAATCTTTGTCGTACATTCAACCAGATTTTATTACATGCGACTTAATAAATAAAATCAAATCCTTTCATTGGATAAGGAAGAGAACGAAGAATAATAAAGAATTGAAATAGAATGTAGGCAATGGAAGTTAAGAATAAATATATTATAATAATTATAATAATAATAATAATAATAATAATAAATATAATAATAATAAAATGAAAATAACAATGATCATTAGTGCCAATTTCGTGTATGACTAACAAATGCTCTTTGAATGAATACAACAAATTCCATGGTTTAAAAAGGGACCTTAGAGTCAAAATGAGTGGTAGGAATAATGAAATAAAAGTTAGCCCATATGGTTTTATGTGAAGATCTAGTTCACTGTGTCAATGGTATTGATCAAGAAATATTTATATAGACAAATGAAAAAAACTAAACAAGGACTTTGAAAATAATCATGCATCACAACCCCTTTTATAAGGAACCGAGAACATTGTTTCTACACCACATACTTATTTAAGATAAATAAATAATAGAGAATATAAGTATAAAATTCACTTTTCATTCAAAGTAAAATAAAGTTCCGTACAACAAATATCCAACAGAACAACATAATATTACATTTATTTTATAATATTCAAAATACCCAAAATTATACTACGTAGCTCCCTCTACATGAGGTCTCAAAATATAAAGAAAAAGAGACTTTAATGCAAGATTACTCAACTTCAGCTTCTAACATTTCCCCACTAGCCCCTCAGCCTGTGAAGTAGATGCAACACCTGCTACATCTGCTCATGTACCACCGTACGATCATCGCAGTACACACACACAACGACATAGAAAGAAATGCAAGGGTGAGCTTACCAAGCATAAAATAAAATCATATATATAGAGCAAAATATTTCTCACAGCAATAACTCCATGCATTTCCAGCCCATCTAATGCACAGCATGAAAATGGTTTCCAACTGGTTTCACAGCCTAAGTAATCCAGAAGGAATCGAGCTGGTCCAGGAGCGACCCATTCCGGTATCTGAATCCAGACAGCACAGCACAACAGCTCAGCATGAACTTATTGTTACACGTCTACCCACCTAAACATGTAACTCGGCTCTATAATGATGCAAACATATATCTCAGCATGATGCACACTGCCAAAATTATTTTAACAGCTCAACTAAGGCAAGTTTATAATAGATCAGCCAAAATCTCGGCATTTTAAATCAATTAACAATAGTTACAGCTTAGAAAATAGCTTTTATTCAATAGATCTAACAAAATCATATCAAAACATCTTGAAATAGCATATTAAACCGTTCAAAACGTAGTTCATAGGTTAAAGTAAACTCTCCTTACCTCAGAACAATGATTTACACTAGATTTACCGAATATTACTTGTTTTATAGCAAGATTCACCGAAGATTTGGCTTTAAAACAAAGTTTCTCCTAAGAACACCATGAACTTCTATGAGAAAGAGAAGGAGAAGAGAAACGAACGGTAAATATAACTTCAAACTTATAGAAACTTACTTCAAATCCTTCAGAATAGACGTAGAATCTCAGATCCGACGAGAAATCTAAGTTTTGGAGGGTTTAATATGAGATAAAATGGCAGTATATGGCCTTAGAACCTTTGAGAACCTTGGATATGAGTAAAGAAATGAAAATTTTGTGTGAAACCCCCTTTTTATACAAAATTTTTTAAATTTACTGTTCACCGTCGAAAATTATTGTTCATCGCCTTACTGTTCACGCCGGAAACACTGTGCACACGTACTATACGCGTATGTGATGTCAGCCATGACGTCAGGATGATGTCACTAATGATGTCAGCGGTCACTGTACATACGCGGTTTGTACGCGGTTTGCACTGTTCATAGGCAGTTTTACTGTTCATCTGACATTGTTCATACGGTACTGTTCACTTTTTCTTTTTTTTAAATAATTTCAAACTCCATCTAAATCTATTCCAATACCAAATAATCCTTCAATTAACATTGAACAAGTATAAAATATTATAGATTACTCAATAATAAATCACTAGCCTGACAGTGTGTGTTTGCTTGTTTGGTACATTGTATGTATCGCATGTAGATGGGATCCGAGATGGTCAAGATGATGGTCCTCCCGACAGCGGACGACCTATGGATATATGATGATGCCACCTAGCAGACCATTTATCAGGGTTTTGCCCGTATGTCTTTTGGATCATTTACTGAGGGGGGTTGGGAGACTCACTACATTACGGACTTACCTATTAAGATTGTTTTTCCCTTACCTCTTTATGCTACCTCCATATCTTTTCCTCTCATTACTCCTAGGACTGTGTAACACCTTATATTTCCTTCCTCAATATATGATAAATTTTCATAAAATTTAAATAGTAAAGTAAATTTTCTTTCAAAAACTCTCAAATAAGAAAGAGATATTGAAATGATATAAAGTTCATAGAGTAAAATTTCATTAATTCATAAGTACTTTTAGAAAAACAAAGATCCTAAAATTTTCATCAGCAACAAAAAAGAAATAGTAGTTTTACAACTATTTCAAAAGAATGTTATAGAACTAAAAATATTCATTACATAACTCAAACTAACTAAGTCCTATAGCAGTTCTCATCCATCCATGCACTGTGAGCCTGGTACTATTCATCCTGGTTTCCTGAAAATGTTGTGTAAGGGTGAGTCTCTACCTTACCACTCATACATAACACATATTCACCATAAAACACATCTTATCACGATTAAAGAAAACATCATGGCATTACATATCATAGTATCATATAAAGCATGTTCTCATCTCAACACATATTATATTCCACACATTCAAAATTTCTTTTTCTTTCTTTTATCCGCGCTTACCGCGCCCTGTGGCCATAGTTATCCGATGCCTCTATCTTGAGGTCTTTTACATCCATGTAAATAGTCGCCGGATGGCCCAATGCAATACAGATACAACGCATGCAATAGACAGTCCCTTAGCAAAGGTAATGATCAGGAGTCAAGTCGAGAAATGAGTGTGTGGCCATGTGGTGCATTCGAACATAATATTCCATGCACAATCCCGAATGTCACTCACCACCCTACATTTCCCCAAGATATCCCATATCGTCTCCATCTTCCACTCCCTAGTGTATCTCTGTAACTATTTACATCATATCATTTTTCCATATCATACTTTTTCAAGTATATTCACATGTTCACATATGTCATTTCTCATGTTCACACATATTTTTC